GTTTGGGTTAAAACTTGTAGTAAGTGAGTCTATAGTCCGTTTTCAGTCCTCAATTCCTATGCAGGCTTGGACGCGGTGATCTCGGCGTCTTTACTCTGCTGCCATCTTCCGGAAGTCTCCTGTTTTCTATTTTTTAAAGTGTAAGTTTAGATGATTTATTTGATACCAACGTGTTTTTTTGAAGTGGTCAACCTAGAGTTGAACTACTTTTAGTTTGGGTGGAACCGGGGGGATTAAGTCACTGATTTGATCTTGCTGAGGAGAAGTGCTAACTTGTTTTTGTTGTACCACCAATATCCATGTTCTCTGTTGTTTCTGCTGTGACTCAGTGCTGTTAGTGCATTTCATGAAGTCAGTACCAGTCCTGAGGGTTTGGGGGGTTGGGTAGTATGCTGTCCAGTGCATGCACTCTCTCTCTCTTAACCAGGGCCCAGTGTGTGGAGGTCACTTCAGATCCTCCACAGTTGTTTCCCTTTGGTCGAGGGTCTTTACTTACGCAGTGTTTAGCTGTCCCTTCTCCAGGGCCCCTAACTGAATCAGAAGCCCTTCCATCTGTAATACCTACCTCCCCCTACCTCCTATTCAATGTAACATGACTCTATTCTGTATCATCTCTGTGTTATTTGTGTTGATTTCCAGTGCCCAAGGACTATATAAGTTATGCCTCCTTTTGGGAACAAAGCAAGGAACTTCTATCACCATCTTGGTCTAATCTCAGTAATTTAATTCTTGACTTTGATAGAAAAGTATAAATGTAAAAGTAGCTATTGAAGAATTAAAAATAGAATCATAGCTTTTAGTCATTTGAGAGAGAAAAAGGACAAAGGAATATTGGTAAAATTTCTGAGTAGAGGAAAAACCATATCCAAATTTAGATAAATGCACTCTCTTCAGATTTTTTTTAGAATTATGACTTGAATTTAACACATTTCCATGTATTCTCTAATTTTTTCCATTTCTTTTCACAAGATCTAGAACCTTATATGTATCAGAAAATGAAAACTAAAGAAATTGAATGGCATACAGTACAAGTCAATGATTATCTGAAGCAGTCTCAAGAGGTAAAAATATTTCATTTGATAGTTTTAAAAATAACATATAGTACAAGTCAATGATTATCTGAAGCAGTCTCAAAAGATAAAAGTATTCCATTTGATAGTTTTAAAAATAATCATGCACACATTACTTGTCTAACTATTTGGAAGTGTCTGTTTTACCTTTATGACCCTTAGTTAACTTCCAATTTGTGTTGACATTATATTTAATTTCTATTAATTTTATTTTCTTAAAGATTTATTTTTTGGGGGCCCTCCCTAGTGGCACAGAGGGTTAAAGTACAGAACTAAGAAGCTAAAGCCACTTGAGCATGAGTTTGATCCCCGCCCCGGAGATGATCCACATGGTGCAGCAGACCTTTCCTGACCCACCTACTGTTCCCATCAGCAGTGTACTGCTTCAGTCTGCCTGTTCTTGCTCCCCACTCTGTCTCTGGTGAATCTTCTGCACTTCTGGTCTGTACCCCAGTTCTGTATGAATAAATAAATCTTTTTTTGTTTAAAGATTTATTTATTTATGCATGAAGAACTAGGGTACAGGTTAGAGGTGCAAGGGCAGCAAGAAGATTCACCAGAGACAGAGAGGGGAGCAGAACAGGCAGATAAATGAAGTATACTGCTGAGGGGAGTAGCGGGCAAGTCAGGAAAGGTCTGCTGTGACATGTGGATCACTTCCGGGGCAGGGATCAAACTCAAACTTAAGCAGCTGATGCTAGCTTGCAGTGCTGTGCCTTAACCCGTTGGGACACCAGGGGGGGTCCAGTATTTTATTTTGTTTTAAAGATTTATTTATTCATGTGTACAGAAATGGGTATAGGCCAGAGGTACAGGAGTGGAGAGAGGATTCACCAGGAATAGAGTAGGGGAGCAGAACAGGCAGACTGACGACATGCACTGCTGAGGAGACAGGAGAGGTGTGCTGCACCATTTGGGTCACTTCCCTGGCTGTGTCTGACCTCACAGTGCTGTGTTTTAACATTGCACCACTGGGAGGGCCATAAATTTCTATTTTAAATCGGAGCTAAGTTGAATCTCTTACCTAGTTTTTCTACAATTCTCCTGCCCACTTTATTCATTCTTTATTATTATTCTTTATATAATTTATTTATCTACCCAATAATTTTTTCTGAGTATTATTAGCATGAGAGAGAATTCAGGAATTTTTGAAAGCTGTTTTTCAAATATATGCAAATTGCCTTGTGAAAGGAACATAAAGCATTTTAATATATTTTTAAGAGGCAGAACTAGAAAAAGGATGTATGAACTACTAGGAAGTAGATTTCAGTACAATTTGAGGAGAAATTGCTAGCAATTGGAACTTTCTAGGGGTGAAATGGTTTATTTCTGAAAGTGGTGAGTTTCTCAGTGTGGTTAGTCAAACAGACTGAGAAAACCTCTTTGCAGAAGTGATGGGGGGGCAGGGGCTGGGTATTGTAGAGTAAAAGGACTTTTCTCCAATGCTGAGAATCTCTGAGTTTAAAAATCCCTTTTTCTTAATTTCTACTAGTACATGCTTTTGTAATTGCCACTTATATGAACAGTGTGGTCCAGTTAGTCTAACCCAAGAAACCTTTTGGTGTTGGTGTGAATATTATTTGTATGAAGTTGGGAACTGCCTACAGTCACCTGTGTGAATGCACACTGTATTAAAATCCTCAAATATTATAGGAATTTAATATACGAAAGGTAGTGAAAGTAAAATATACAACTGCTTGAGGTTGAGATAGCATCTGTGTTCAAATTCTGACACAGCCGCTTCTGAGGCTTCAAAGCTATATACATCACCTAACCTATGAACTTCATTGGCTTATCTCTTAAGTGAAGCTATTGCCATCCATATACTTGATAGTGGATAGTAAAAATAATAACCTTCTAGAAAATGCCTAGAGTAGTCCCTGGAATGTACTAGATTTCAAAAAATTTTAGCTGAATCTAAATAGGCAGTAAAATGAGATAAACTCAAGATAATGTTATTTTAAATAATCAAGTGAAATGATAATATGTTAAAGATAGAATATAATGGTATAATGGTCATTGTTATCTGTCAACTTTGGCCTTTATATGTTATCATCAACTGATTTCATATGTTGACACTTATTGCTGCAAAACCTTTATATAGTTACTCTTTAGTGTCTCTATAAAAGTAATTTCATTCTGTGAGAGCCCAGCAACATGGAGTTACTCTGATGTTGTGCTAATGTTAGCCATCTTTCTAGCTTCAGGAGAAATATCAAACTAGAGAAAGGAAGGGGGAAAAAATATAACTTCTAAGGAGTGTGCAATGCAAGTGTATTCTGGAAATTTGGGGTGGGAGAAATGTTGGGTGAAGATGTAAAGGCCTTCCTTTCTTTACAGGATTTGAGCAAAAACTCTCTGTGGAATCCTCAGAGCACTGAACTCAGTAGAAACTCCCTGTGAGTATTTCTAAATTTGTGTCCTTAAGCATTGTTGGCTGCTGCTTTTTTTTTAAAAGATTTTATTTATTTTTGCATAAAAGAACTGGGATGCAAGCTAGAGGTGTGTTTACTGGGTAGTGCCCAGTAACTGTAATCTCTAGGCCACCAGGGAGGCCCTGGCTTTTATTATTATTATTATTATTTTTAAAGATTTATTTATTTATGCATACAGAGCTGGGGTACAGGCCAGAGGTACAGGGGCAGTGAGAGGATTCACCAGAAATAGAGTGGGGAGCAGAATAGGCCGACTGATGAAGTACACTGCTGAGGGGAGCAGCAGGAGAGTCAGGAGAGGCCTGCTGCGCCATGTGGATTACCTCCAGGGCGGGGATTGAACTTATGCTGAAGAGGCTTTAGCTTCGTAGTGCTGTGCTTTAACCTGCTGTACCACCAGGGAGGACTGTGACGTTTATATTTTTTAACCTGACTGGAGTAAAGGTACATTTTGGTCAGAAAATGAGAAGAAAAGGTGTGTGTCCAGTGACAATGTTTTCCCTTTGTTAGCAACAGTGAAAATAATTTATTCTACAAGTTTTTCTGTTCCCAGCCATGTAATCTCATCTCAGTGTCTTTTAAGAATATAACAAAGCATTTCCTACTATGGCACATTAAACTTTTGTCTCTTAGTGTCAAAAATACACATGAAGTAATAAGTATGATATGTTCTGATAGATAAGATTGTGCAATGTGTATTAAAGAATGGACATAAACCTGTCTTTCCTAAAGAAAAAGATTTCGATGGGAATTCTGATTCTTCAATTAAAAAAAATTCTTGTTTTTCCTTAATTTTTCAGTTAATGTAATCTGCCTTACTTTTGGTTTCTCATTCACATCATAAGTATTTATCAAAGCAGCAATTCTTTGAGTAGTATTGAGACAGAGAGACAATGGATGATGGGGATGAGGAAAGAGAGAGGAGATCAAGAACTCACATGACTGTGGACTTGGGTTTCCTCGTAGAATTTTACTTATTCAGGAACTATAAATTGAAAACCAGAAAACAAAGATTATTATACTTTGCTTGTCATGTTTTCTGGACTTACCAAGTTACATCACCAAATTCACTGCCCATCCAGCTATGGGAGTAGAATTCAGACTGTCTACACTACAAAGGGCCAGCTGATAAACATGCAGGTAGAAAGTAACTTGCGATTTTCAGGTCACTCTATTCAAGATGGCCTTTTCCCCTGGCTCTCCCATCAAGGTCTCGCCATGCAAGCCTGCCTCTACACTTAAAGTGCACATGACTTTTTTTCTCCCAAAGGTTCAGTAGTTTGTGCTCATGCAGAGTAGTGGGTTATTGCAGCATGAAATTAAACAATAATTGTAATTGTACTTTGTTCCCCAAGGACCTTAAATACTGTAGATATTCTTTGAATGCATTTATTCAGAGATGCCTGTGGCCACTTGTGCACTTGAGCAGGGCAAGTAACAATTTAAAGAGAACTAATTTCAGCCTGTGAACATTTAGGGGCCACGTGGGCTAATGAAACTGATTTGTAGACTTGTCCAGAGACATTCATAGACTCATTTGTAGGCATCTACTTTGCATAGTTCAGGAAACCCTTTAGTTTAATTGATCCAGAACAACACAAACACAGTTAAATCTTATATATGTTGTGTGATCACATTGCTAATTAAAAACAAAAACCAACAACTACTTTTCAGTTAGCTTAGGGCATGTATAGTAAATGAATTACATGTATACTGGGTGCCTATTTTTTTTTTTTAATGAAAATAACTGAAGGATTGTAAAATACTTTTGTAGTGATAAAGATAGGGGTCAGATATAACTGATAGTTTTCTTTCAAATAATTCATACATACATATATACAAGTAGACTGTTGCGATCTTACATACTTTTTCTTTGATCATTATGTTTTAAAGCGTTATTTTTAATTTTTCAAACAGGTTGAGAAGTTCAAGTGGAGTTAACAGTAAGTTTTTATATTCAAAGATTTTAATTTTTTCATCTTATTAACAGTGAGGTTCACGTTCCTCCTGAGAGTTTTATAGTCCTTGAAATTCTATTTATGATTTTTGTCTACTGTACAAAGTAAAGAGCACAGTAGAAAAATAGAAAGTTGAAGATAATCAGGACTGATTTCTGGTTTAAAAAATTTTGAATCACCTGTTTTTATGATTTTCAATTTTTCTCTGTGAGTAAAGGCAACATCACTGAACTCATGTTAGACTGTTTAACAATTCTCAGTCACTAGTGTTTCTCAATAGAGCCATTCATAAGATTGTATGTGAATGCCTTTTCCTTTTTGGTTTCAGTAGGACACTCTGCCTCAACTGGCTAAGTCAGGCTAAGCTACATGAGACAACTTCCTGCTAATGCCTCTCAACTCCTCTCAGCCTTACCCACAATTTATTAGCACCTGTTCATAATCTTGACCCCTTGATGCAGACTGGGCACCTTCCTTTTCTTTGTTTTTCTTTCTTTTTTTTTTCATTGAGGTAACATTGGTTTACACTGTTGTTTGTGTTCTGCAAGTACAGCCTTAGATGTGATTGCTACATTGCTCCTGCCACAGGACACCTATGATTTGCCATCATAGTCCATAGTCCTCCTTTCCCCACTTTGGTCTTGCCTTTCTCCCTACCCCTCATGTAGACTCAGTTCTACAGTGAGCTTTCTAGTGTTAGTTCTTATAGCTTGACTTTATCTGATACTTACTTTGGTTTCTCTGTATACCACATATAAATAATACCAGTTACTATTTGTCTTTCTCCTTCAGACATATTTTGCTTAGGAATCCCCTCCACCTTCATCCATGTCACTAAAGTTGTCAATATTTCACCTCTTTGATAGCAAAGTAGCATTGCACATTATATATATTCCACCTCTTCCTGATTGACTCATCTGTATTTGGACACTAGGTTGTTTCCATAGCTTGGCTATTGCAAAAAGTGCTGCTGTGAACGTAGAAGGTCATGCTTCCCTTAGAATTAGTATTGTTCTATTATTTAGGTAGATACTGAGGAGTGGGACTGCTGGGTCATATGGCAGATCCATCTTTAATCCTTTGAGAAGCCTCCATACTGGTTTCCACAGGGAATAGGCCAGTCTATGTTTCCACTAATAGTGTATAAGGAAGGGCTCCTTTTGGCTTTGTTGTTTTTGTCAGTCTCACAACTATGAGGTAGTATGTCATTGTGGTTTTCATTTGCATCTCCCTGCCTATCAGTGATGATGAACTTTTTTTATGTGTCTATTGGCCATTTGAATGTATTCTTTGGAGAGGTGCCTATTAATCTCTTCTGCTCATCTTTTGGTTGGGTTATTTTCTTTTTGTTGAACTGTGCGAACTCTTGTAGATCTTTGATATTAGTCCCTTGTTAGAGGTATGGTGTGCAAATATTTTCTCTAATTCAATCTTTTTATCTTAGGGACAGTCACTTTCCCTGGCATCTTCCTTTTCTGTGGTCTTGTTCTATCCCATGTTTACAACTTTCAGTTCCTTTATAGTTCTCTTTCAACTACAAATTTGTCATTTTGTCTACAAAAGAAAAAAATATTTTTCTAGTTTATAAACCACTGTTCTTATACCTCACCTCTAATTTAATTGAAAAAAATAATTCATATTTGCTCTTTGGCTCATGGTGTCTGTCCCCACTGTTCTATTGAAATGCCAATAAAACTGCTAAATCACATGAGCTCTTCTCAGTTCTCATTGATCTTGTTCTGATGTTGATCTGTTTTCTAAGTTTTCATGTAGTTTTTCTTCTCTGTAATTCTTGTATTTCTTTATTAACTGTTCTTGCTCCCCTGATGGACTCCTCTTCTTTTATCCAAACTGAAAATTTGAGTTGTTGACAATCTTTCATTCTTCTCTATCAGTTTTCCCTCATAACTCCACATTACATTGAACCTCATCTTTAAAAAAAATGTGCTTTTTTAAAGTCTAATTTTGTTCTGTGATCTGTGTCAAACTACCACATTCTCAGTGCAAGTGGTCTCTCCTCCCGAGGAAAACAGAATGGGAGGAAACGGCTTTGTGACTTCAGCACCTCCACAAGGCTCCTAAAAGCTGTATTTTTCTCTCCCCATTTCTCCTTCCTTAAGACCTCCACTAGTTTTCCCAAACTAAATGTTTACTTTCTTTTGTCCTTGATTTTGTATCAGCATTGTGGTTGGTTTTTCTTTTTTAATCTTATGTTCCTATTGGAATTATCTTTCTGAACAATACCTCATCACATATAAAGAAATCTTTGATGATTTCCCAATACCTACAGGGACAGACTGAAAAATCCAAGTCTTTCTCAATGCCTTTAATAGTCTAGTCTCAATCCAAATATCTAGACTCACCCTCATAAGATTTTTTATGCAATACCTCTTCATGCTGAACACGTGTTAACATCATATCTGTTAACATCATATGGGTGTTTAGAGGTATTTAAAACAATGTTCCACCTCCCTCTCACCCATCTCAGCAAATGACAACTCTATTCCTCCAGTTGCTAAAGCCAAAGACTTACAATCATACTTAACCTCCATTTTCTCATGCTCCTACACCCAACAAACCCATAAATCCTTTGAAATATTTCTAGAATTGGATTGTTTTTCTACCTCCACATACCAGTCTTCATCTCTTTGCTGGATTACAGGATGGCCTGCACACTATTGCTCTCTAAAAGCCTGTTTCCAGAGAGTGGCTGAATAATGCTTTTAAACTGAAAGCCAAATAACCTCTATTCTGTTCAAATGGCGTTCATTGCACGCTGTAACCATGAAGTTCAAGCACAGTCTTCAAGATCCTGTTGATTTGCTTGCCCTCCTCCAGCTCTTCAACCTCATTTCTTCTCAGCATGGTCCATACCATCCACATCCTCCTCCTTTGCACAGCGACCTGCCTCAGGGTGTTTACACTTGGTTTTTCCTTCTGCCTGGTGTTGTCATTTATCCATACTACTCACCTTCCCTTCCCTCAGATGTGTGCTCAAATTTATCAGAGACCTTGTATAGAAGGTCATAACCTCCCTGTTCCCCATACACCATAATTTTCCCAGCTTGGTATATATATAATCAGTATGTATCACATCCACTAAGTATTGATAGAGATTATTTTACCATTTCATGTTAGTATAATGTAGCCAGAATCTGTTTTATTGCTGCTATTTCTCTCCACTTTGACCAGTGTGTAACACATAGAGGTGCTTAATAAGCATGTGTTGAATGAATATGAACAAGATTTTATTTTCTTCTTCAATGCTGATGCCAGGATAGAAACTCAGCTTTATGAGATTGAAATAACCTGAGTTCTTTTAGTATTTCATATTATTTGTTTATGAAGATTCTGTAAACTTCTCTATATCTTCAGTGTAGTAGATCACAGTACCACAAAAGGAATTGTGCTTATAGTTTACATGTCTTTCTTTACCAGTATTTCGTATTTACTTTTCTTTAGGATGGTTGTTGCATCATATTCCCATCTGTTACACCTTGATCTATACCGGAAGTGAAAACTTTCTTTTTTATTATTGAATGAATTTATATAGGAAGAATCTTTTCTGCTGATCTTACTATAAACTAATCACCCCAAAGGAGGGGATATTTGTTCCATTCCTTATCCACTATCAAGCTGGAGAGATCTGTGAAAATGGGCTCATTAGCTGCCTACTCTACTAGGTAACAAGCAGTAACCATCATGAGACTAAACTTCTCCACTTTAATTTTGATTTTATGAAATGGCATAACTGTTCCCAGGATTCCTCTGGAGCCTTGTAACTTAGGGCTTGAGCAGATAGAAGAGAACCAGTTAAACTTGCAGAATGTTTTCCTAATACACAGTCCTTCTGTAACCAAATAAACCCCTTGGTGGCCTATTCTCCTCCCACTCCTTTGTTTCTGGTACATAGATCTTAATGTGTTGTCATCATTTTGCTGTCATTTTAGGTCAGCAAAGTAGTCTACTAATAACGTGGTATTAATAATGTGTTTATATGTGTGCCACTTCTTGGTAGTGAAGTCAGAGGATTGTGCTTCTGGGATGTTGTGAAATGTGATGGGCAGCTGAGTGCCTTCTGCAGCCCAGAGCTATAATTGGTTCAGAGGAAATACATCTTTGAGGCTAATATTACCTGTCTTTCTTCAATTCCCTATATAAATATGTTTGAAGATATTACATTGATGATTGGAAGCTGTCAGGTTTCGGTGCACAATAATGTGGTTAAAGGATATTAGGCAATCTTTTTCTAATACTGAGAAGCCATTCTGATTAACCTGTTCAATAATAACTTTGAAGGCAATATATTCATAAGCATGTATTTATCTCTAGCCAAGTAATTAAAATGCCAATCTTCTCTATAATTTCAGAAATCTCAGCCTCCTTCAAAAGCCCTCAAGAGCCTCACCAACATTATTCAGGTAGGATGCATGTGCACACGGACATGTCAACTGAGCTAAACATCTGTGATTCCGCATCTGTGAAGAGAAACATTGATTAATTCCATAGTATCAACATGACCCCCACCTTGAAAAGGTGTCATTAACACTGATAAGAACATTCAGATGTCTTACTTTGCCATCAGTTTGAGAAAATAAGTTTTTTAGGATGCAAGAGAATTTGGATTAAAAAATGTTTGTTTTGGCAAGTTCCAAATTGTGAAGAAAAATATGACTGAGATCTAAAAATTCCTTATCAGCTCAAAATAGGCCCAGAGCCAGAGGTCTCAGATTTTTGGAAAGGGAATGAGACAGGCCTGACTTGAGCCCTTTGAGGGAGGATTTTGTACCCTCATTGGACCCTCTGAACATATAGTTGCTTAATGAATGCCAACCCACTGAGAAAGTTCAATAGAGACACTCTACAAGGATGTTATTAAACAAAGATGTCAAGGGTCTTTCTCTTAAGCAGCATCACTTCAGAGTGCTTCAGTTGTTTTCCTTTCAATGTGGGAATAATTGTATTTGCCCTTCCTGAGGAACAATTTGCCAAAGGGCTAGTAGAGAATTGAGAGGAAAGCACTTTGAAATGCAAAGTAAGATAGCAACCACTGTACTCAAGCCATTTGGGTGGTCTTTTGGGTGTCATTGCTCTCAGCATTGTGTGAGATAATACACGGACAAGCCTTTTACACAGTCTGAAGCTTGGCACATGAGTAAATGTTTATTGGTGAGTAATTACCATTATTATTATATCAAGGTCATGTGTTCAGGGTCCAGTAACAGACTGCCTTACCCTGAAATTTCCTCTGTAGTGAATAGTATTTCAGGGGCTTCCAGACTCCACATTCCAGACTCTTGTAAACTGGGTCTTTCAGCTCAGCAGTAATCCATTATTTTGACTCCAGCTGTCAACTTAAGAAAGTCTCTGCTGAAGAATACTGTAACTCATATTGATTCTCATCTGTTAGGATACGGCTCTTCACAGGAAAATGCAGATCACTTGCTTCTAATTAAAATTGGTCTTCCAACTCTCTCTGGGAAAAGAAGATGAACTGTGCAAAGTCAACAGTAGATGTCCCCACAGTCCACCATGCATATTAGATTTGCTATGGGAAAGAAATACCAGAGACTGCAGATCACAGCTTAAAATGCTCTTTGAAAGAAAGGTCCACCTATGTATGGATTAGTATGTGATTTGATATTCAGGAGAGTGGAGGTGAAAGCCAGACCACAAACTGTGTTATATAATCTCATATAATCTGTTCCTAAGACTGGGATATCCTTCCTTTTTAACACACAATTTATTTTAAAAAAAATTGTATTACAGATAATATTTTTGGTAAAGGCAAAAATAAGAGGTTGGAAAAACCTCTTTGAATTTCACTTTGAAGTGAAATTTTGCCATTTATATAAATATATTGTTGTTGGGAGGTTTTCTGTAAATTCAACTCACTGATGCATAATTAAAAATAGTAAATCTGTTTTGTTTGCAGCCATCGAAAGGAACAATTTAATGAGGCTTTCTCAGACCATACCATTTACACCAATCCAACTGTTTGGTGAGTGCGGTTCCTACCTTGTTGTGACTTTGCCAGGAAGGAGGCATAACATCAGAGTAGATCACAGGAGAAAATATTTTATATCACTTTAGTTGAAAGTTTTGTCTTGGCCACTGGTTGCATTTTAATGAGATAATTTCCTAAAATGGAAACTCTTGCAAACTTCCCATCCAGAATCTAGGGTCAAAATTTATTTCTTTGGGAATGGGCTCTATAGTGAGCAGCAGTTAGGAAGAAAAAAAAAAAATCAACCAACCATGTGTAATGAACACAGCAGAAAATGATAAATGTCAATGAAAGCTAACTGGCATCTGAAGAGAAATGCTTTATATATTGTTTTTTTTTTATTTGTTTGTTTTGCTTTGTATAAACTCCTTGCATAGTAGAGAGAGCAAATGCCTTTTTCACTAGTGGACTGGTGAGCTAAAGAAGCTTGCATTAGCTAAGACTACCAGAGGTTCTTTGATCTTTTACAATATAACAAGAGTGTCTACAATGTTCTGGATTGTGATTCTCCTCACATTCCTCATGTGGAAGGCTAGGTGGCTTCTGGAATTGCAGATGCCTTCTAGTTCCACTGGGCGTCATGGCTAATTTTGCAACTCAATAGCTCCACTATAAATCCTCTATGTATATGAAACTCTATGGAGATCTCCAGTGTCACTTATCTGGTCATAGAAAAGAAATTCTTGAAAATATGTTACCTAACATTACTGATACATGTTTGTCAGTAAAAAGTTAAATGTATGATTGAGTGAATAGATTTCTTTCTTGGTAGACCAGTACATATGAAACAGTGTTCATATAAGAAGCTATTTGAAGCAGAGGTAAAAGGAGAAAGTTAAAAACAATCTCAATAGAAATTGTGTGTAGGATTTATTTGTTATGAAGCATTAAATACTGAATTAGGTGCAGTACTGAATTAGAACTGCCTCCTACAGTTCTTTAATGGGGAAGCTGTCTAGTAGTTTAAGAATATTTGTTTCTAAAGTAGTTTAAGTGGGATTAAGTTTGTATCTGAGGTTCTAGTTTCCTATAGCTAAGTTAACAGAATTAATCTTTACAAAAACTCAATGAAGTCCAATGTTATTTTTATCCCCAGCTGCTGTTGAGGTCAGTAAGGCTTTAAGTAACTTGTCTAGGTCCTCCCTGGTGGCGCAGAAGGTTAAAGCACAACACTAAGTAGCTAAAGTCATTTCTGCATGAGATTGATCCCTGCCCTGGAGGTGATCCACATGGCACAGCAAACCTCTCCTGACCCGCCCGCTGCTCCCCTCAGCAGTGTACTTCGAAGATCTGCCTGTTCTGCTCCCCACTCTGTCTCTGGTGAATCCTCTCACTGAACCTCTGGCCTGTACCCCAGTTCTGTATGCACAAATAAATATATTTTTTTAAAAGATTTATTTATTTGTGCATACAGAACTGGGGTACAGGCCAGAGGTTCAGGGGCGGTGAGAGGCTTCACCAGAGACAGAGTGGGGTACAGAACAGGCAGATCTATGAAGTACACTGCTGAGGGGAGCAGCAGGTGGGCCAGGAGAGGTCTGCCACACAATGTGGTCACCTCCGGGGCAGGTGGGAATTAAACTCATGCAGAAGTGGCTTTAGCTTCTCAGTACTGTGCTTTAACCCGCTGCGCCACCAGGGAGGGCCAATAAATAAATCTTAAAAAAAAAAAAAAAGTAACAGGTATGATCCTGCTTCTGTCTAATCCTATCTATTAAACGATGGATTTAACCATGCATTCTTATTGAGTATAATATCACCTCAATAGGAGCAAAAACATGTATGTGTGTGTGTATACACACACACACACATATGCACATAGAATAAGTGAATATAAAACAGATATACAGTATATCTTTGCTTATTAAAATATAATGGGAGGGATGATTAGGGGGGAAATGTTTCCTTGGGGTTGTAAATAGCATTATGCAAAACATAGAAGTACTTGTCCTTGACAAAAGAAGTAGATCCTTACTGCTTTGACTTTGTTTTGTCCAGTTATAATCTACAATAAGAGCAACTTAATTCTTGTATAGCATCTGATGTTTTTATCCTCTCCCCCTTTCCCTCTTTGCTGGACAACAAATAACTGAAAACTTTTCTTCTCACTGTTTTCTGATTATCTTGGAAGCCGAATGGATACTAAGTTGATATTTAGGGTGCTATCCATGTCCCAGACACAGAAGCTCACTGAGTTCCTCTCTGCATTTCTCTTTGCAGCAGGAGAAGAGGTAACTGTCTACAGGCTAGAAGAAAGTTCCCCTTTGAACCTTGATAAAAGCATGTCTTCTTGGTCCCAGCATGGGAGATCTGCAATGATTCAGGTGTTGTCGCGAGAGGAGATGGATGGTGGCCTCCGCAAAGCCATGAAAGTCATCAGCACTTGGTCAGAGGATGACCTCCTCAAGCCAGGGCAGGTTTTCATTGTGAAGTCCTTTCTTCCGGAGGTTGTGCAGGCATGGCATACACTCTTCCAGGAGAATACTGTGCTTCATCTTTGCCTCAGGGTAAGTCAGAACTTGAGCCCAACTGGACAAATCTAAGAAAGCAGATCTGGCCACATCTTGATTGGAGACCATTATCTTCAACCTGAAGGGAAACCTATTCTTTTTTTGGAAGTGGTGGTATGGTGCTATTTTTGTTTTGTAGTGATCTGGTCTTGAGTGAGAAGTGGTGGAGGTTAAATAAGGTAAAAATCACATCTGAGAAGCCTCTAGTAATTTTATGATCATTAATTAGCAGATAATAAACCAATATTTTGCCCAATGTTCCCTGTTTTGTAGGAAATTCAGCAACAAAGAGCTGCTCAGAAACTGATTTATACCTTCAACCAAGTGAAACCACAAACTATTCCATACATGCCCAGGTGAGGAAATATTGGCATCCTGGCCCTTCATTTTAAGTAGGAATTTCTATTAGTTTGTTCTCAGCCCCAGTAGTCAGAAGAAATCTTTGACCCATGGGGAATTTATCCATGACGTTATTATTTTTTACCTCAGTTTTGTGTTCTTACGCCTCTTAGTTCTGGAAGTTGGTAAAAAGAGTAAGATATCTCCGAAAATCTTTGTTTAAGTCACTGAACTTATATAACTAAAAAACAGAAGATCAAGCGGAGACCATGACTAAATCTTGATTATGTCAAAGTAGCAGATAAATCCTGTGTGTAGTCGCCAATGACCAGCAACATAATGGCAGAAAAACATTTCCATTTTAAGCATAGTTTTTTTCCCTCAACATCTTATAGAAGTTAGGGCTTTATAAGACCAAAGTCTTGTTACTTTCACTTGAGTATTTCACTTGAGTGTTTGCATTCATTCATTCATTCATTCATTTAATCACTTAGTAAGACTGATCATAATTTGGCACTGATGACTTACAGTAAAGTTTTATTGCTTCGTTTACAAGAAACTTTATAGGTGAGAAGAATTGGGAGTGGTACTCAGAGAGTTAGAAAATTTCTTTAAAGTTAAGAGAGGCAAGTAAGCATGAGAAAAAAAATCCCAGCTTTTGCATCTGGTAGAAGCCAAAGGACAAGGGCATTGAGGCTATATCAGACGAGAGTTAGGTAATCTCACCTGTGACTGTTCAGTCATGAAAGTTCCAATTTTGCTACCTTGAGAGAGAGATCAGTGACCATTCTTTTCCCTCATAGGTTCCTGGAAGTTTTCTTAATCTACTACCATTCAGCCAACCAATGGTTGACCATTGAGAAGTACATGACAGGAGAGTTCCGGAAGTACAACAATAATAATGGTGATGAAATTGCCCCCAGCAACACCCTAGAGGAGCTAATGCTGGCTTTCTCTCACTGGACCTATGAGTATACGCGGGGAGAGCTGCTGGTTTTGGATTTGCAAGGTGATTAATAACTGTGAGGCAAAGCTCAGGAGATTGACCAGGGGTGGCTCTCTCCCTGCCATTGTCCCTTAAATTTGACCTCAGCTTTCTCCATCCAACGCTATAGTTAAGATCTTTTAGTGGAGATAGCCCTTAACAGTGTATGCTTTTAAAGTTTTTAATCTGAAAACTGAAAGATGACAATCTCTTTTCTAAACAATTGTTATTTGTGAAACTGTCTTATATGGGAGTAACCAGACAGATCTCCTGAGAGGCCTTGTAAGACTTGGAAGGAGCAATAGGTAGTTATGCTCTAGCTTTCAGGAAAGGTAGGACATTGATTTCAGAGACCTGTTACAGTGATGGTCATCAGCACCTCTCTGTTTGCCACCAAGATGAAGGGGAAAATATGAATAGGCGATTAGTTGCTTAAAGTGTAAAGGCATGTATAACTTTGATGTAAATAGGGGATAAATTTTCCAGTTTTACTTTGAACTTATATCCACAAAAATATATATATAAGAAAGTTCAGATTCTGGGTGTTTTTTCCATGATTTTGAGTTCATTCTTTAGCAATTTATATTTTAGTTTGCTCTTTGCTGTGTACCTTGATATGACAGTTCATGAAAGTACAAATCAGTTTGAGAGAGGAGACACGGTGCACTCTTATTTAATGGAAGCCTTTGATCAGTGCATCTCCCCACTATCAACACCTCACATGTGATTTATAATCCTGCAGCACAACACAGAACATCTCTAGCAGGCTTTCCTTGCAGGAACTGAACGAAATGTGTATTAAGGTCAAAGTTTAGTCCCTGGGCTCACTGACTCTGTCTTTGGTTTTAAATAAGGGATTTAGCCCCAGAACTTTCATAGAAGTTATCTCATTTAATCCCAGAAGCAGCACCTTAAGGTAGATATAATGGGGAATTTAGGCCCAGAAAGCTTTAATAATTTGCCCAGGGTTGCACAGCTACTTAATGGAGAACCAGGAAGCAGATTTAAGCTATTTTAACCATCCATGTTCTTTCCTTCTCACTATGCTGTCTTTCATTCTTTATACACTGCATACCTGAAGGCCATAGCCATGTTCTGGTTCATTTAAAAAGATAGAGCCTTTTCCTTGTCTGCTCTAACTTTCCCAACACTCCAGTACTGGCCTTCTGTGCTGAAAGTCAGACTTGGAGACTGGGGACAGTCCACACAGGGACCCTGAAGCATCAGGGGCAATGTCTAGTAAGAGTACAAAGCCATTTTGATTGCAGTTTGTGCCTCATGCTGAAGGACATGCATGTACATTTTAACTACACATGAGTACTTGTATCTTTTAAAATCTGCGTTGTTCACAATGTCGAATTACATTTTGAGCCCACAAACACAATATTTTAGGATGCAATATAAAGTTAAAACAGTTGAGATGATTCAGCTTTTAAACCAGCAAGTACTTGATCCATGTAAATCCAGCCTGCTGCTGCCCAAGGCATTTGCTATTGTAGCTCATGTTGGGGAGAGGTTGATTGTTTTCATCTGTACTTGAGTGTCTGAGCTTTGAATTTGGGGTGGAGTTGTTTAAAAAGCAAAATCAGAAACAAACAAACAACACAAAAAAAACAACCAAAGAAAAACTTTAAGGAATTAATGATGACTCTTCAGTGTGTTTTGTATTCCACTTGAATAGCTTTTTGTTTAATGATGTTTATGTTTGGGGATTTTTATGTCTCTTAGTAATCCAAAGTGACATTAAACAGAACAAATGCTGCATTGATAGTCTTGGTGGGGGGAGGAGGGGAAGGGAGTTAACTTTATTCTTTTACTGGGTAATTATATAAATTGCAGAAATAGGTCACATTTGTAAACTATGTCAAAACATTGGCCTTCAAAGAGGGCAAGAGTGGACATCATAGAAGCTAAAGAAGTTGAGATACTTATTGGAGAATTTGACCAGTTGGTCAGACCCAAATTTATGGAAGAACACGAATCCTATAATAGCAATTATAAGCAGTTATGTGTTATTATTACTACTAGCTAATATTAATTACTTAATCTATGCCAGGCACTTGGTTAAGGGCATATGTGCATTAACATATTTAATCTAAACCAGATTGGCAAGAAAAATAGGAGAATATATTCTTAACGTATCTTAATGGTTCAGTTGTATTTAGATGATTATTACTTCTAGACTTTGGGGAAATGATGTGCATCATCTGGGTGGTAGGAGTGGCAATTTAGAAGCCAGTTAGCAGGAGTTAGGGGAGTGACTGTCTGGGGTCTGATTCCTGGCTCCAACATGAAATTAGCTGGTGACCACTTACTCCCACCCCTCATTTGTAAGTGGGGAAAATACTATTATGCCCTTTACTCAAAGAGTTGTTAAAGGGCTAAAATGAGCCAAGTTCCCAATACAGAGCAAGCCCTTAATAAATATTAGTTGTTAATATTAATTTCTGATGATTCTTTAAAGTGGAGGGTAACCTTTAGTTGTGGGGAGTCTCCTTTGATCCATGTGGTCCTTCAGTGAAACCTCTCAGCTTTGGCGTCAGTAGAATGAGTGCCTGATTAGATTGCTGTGACTCCTGTTACTTTGCTCTTAGGGAAAGAAAGCAAGCAAAACACTCAGAAAGTTTATTGTTGTAGCTTCTTCTTTTCTCCTCCTCTTTACTTTCTTCCAAGGGTATACCAATTATTATACCCAGATCTGCCAGGAAGCTGAACTCTAAGGAGAGACTTGACTAATTTTTCTCACTTATAATTATTCTGTAGTTTTCCAGTCTCTTTCCTTTTAAGAGTGTGAGAGCCTGAATCATCATCATTACACTTGAAATTTAGCATTCAATTCCCAGCAATGGGAATTAAAAACAAATGCATTTCAAATTACAGTGGTCTCTAGCATTTTTAAAACCTCATAATTTTTCAAAGAACTTTTGGAGATATTAATTTTTTGTTCAACTAAACAATTTTCAAAATAAGTCATCGTGAATTCTACTGCGACAACAAATTTCTTTTCATAGATGTAGAAGCCTACTGATGTGTCCCACGGTGGTTGGGATCAGATGTAAGTCTCTGGGTTTCTCATGAAGGCATGCTACATGCTGTCTGTAGATGGGCATCTACTCTTTTAAAGCAGGTAAACAGATATCACTGGGATTTTAACATATTAAAATGTCTTATTTCCTTCCATGTTTTCTAAATATTTGGTAGAACATATGGGTAGGATGGGCTTCAAGGTTCAAATTGGTTAAAATTCTTTCTGGTGAATCTGGAAGGGGTGGAGTGGTAGTGGTGGGAGAGTGGAGGTAAGGAATGATTGGGTCTCTGGGCTGCTCTCTACTTTTCACATATTAGAATGCCTGTCTTCCAGTTGAGGACCCTGCATATATATTTAGTAGTTAAGTTTTGTGCTGTCAGATTAGATTTAGGGATACCCTCATTCTCATGGTGTGGGAATGGAGAGCGGTGTCTGCTCATTAGGAACCACAGGGAATGACATAATCAGAATATGACTTCACCAGTGGAAAGGGAAAAGGATTTTACATCACACAAGATTTTGATTGATTAAAGATAATAAAAATGGCAGTTGACATTTTTTTAACTTCTGCCGCTCAGTCACTTTGCTAAGCAGTTTTATTTAATAGTTCATTTTACACTCACAGTAACCCTTTAAAGTAAGCTCCCATATTATTTATACTTTTTTAAAAAAAGATTTATTTATTTATTCATACAGAACTGGGGTACAGGCCAGAGATGCGGAGGGTGAGAGGACTCACCAGAAACAGAGCGGGAAGCAGAACAGGCAGATCGAAGAAGTACACTGCTGAGGGGAGCAGCGGGCGGGCCAGGAGAGGTCTGCCACACCATGTGGTCACCTCCGGGGCAGGCGGGGATCGAACTCATGCAGAAGTGGCTTAAGCTTCTTAGTGCTGTGCTTTAACCCGCTGTGCCACCAGGGAGGGGCCCTTATTTATACTTTTCAGATGACAACACTGAGGTGAGGGGACTTGAAAGGACCCTTGACTTCAGCCTATGGAACAAGCAACAAGATTTAAAGTAAATGGGAGCTATTATGATATGGTCAACATTCCCCCCTCATATAGCTGCCTTTTCTCAATTGACATCACCTGTTTAGGTGCTGTGACCTCCCTGCTTACCTAGGCATTAGCCTCAAGCTTTCATCTTTGCTGGATACTTTGAGGCTCAAGTTAGGTTTGAGCTTAAGCATGTGGGGGATTGTTTAGCCTATTTGATATAGCATGTGGGCTATCCTTTGGTCTGCTGGTCTGCTTATCTAGTTCATAGTTAGAAACTGTCACCTCTCTAGGATTTTCCTTCTTGTTTCTGTAAGTGAAGAAACCACAAACAGACAAACTTCTTCCTTTGACTTTCTCTTTAGAAAGGTAAAGTTTGTGCAGTGCTCATCTATTTGCCCACTTCTCCCTGAGACCGTGTTTTGGTCCTACTTTCCTCTTCCCTCTTCAAGTCAGTGTGCATAGAGATTCTAAGTGAGGGGTTCTTAAAGAGGATGCTGAGTGTCTGGGTACCTTTCATGAGATAACTACACCTGTACTTTCACTAACCCATAACTGAAATCCATCATTTCCTTCAATTATGATGGAGACCACAAGCCATAAGGGTATTAGCTATACCTGACTTTTCATAGTAGCAATACAGGTGATAACATAGCACTTTAAAGGGCTGGAAGATAGCTCAAAATATTATTTATAATTATTACTTGATGGATGTTAATGTAGTTATTAGGCTATTGCAAAATCCCAATATTTAACATATTAATAAAGAGGAATATGTATTGCAATATAATAATTAAACATATTTTTTATAACTCTATTTTAGTATTATTGGTTTCTTCTGTGTTTAAATTGTGCATTTTAATCTTCTGAGATGTCTCACCAGACTGACAAAAAGGATCATGACGTTTTACAAAATGGTTGAAAACTCCTCTTCTAAGCAGTTATTTTCCTTAGGATGTCAATTTCTTAGGGGAAAGATTACATTTAGCATATTGGTTTAGCATATATTAAAATATACAGAAAACAGCAAATTAAGTTTTAATATTGGTGAGAAAATATGATTTTTTTTTACAGCAACAAGAAATATAGAATAATGTTATAAATTTCATATGGCTTTTAAGTAGTGTTCCCCACGAGGCTGGTCTCTTCCAAGCCAAGAGAACAGTTGTTTAATGGAGAGTGATTTCAGAAATTGTTGGGTTGTGCCCTAATAGCATGTTCTCTTGTCTGATGGGCTGGCATGGGAAAAGTTACTGCTACGGGAAGTCAGTCTCTTTGCCACCAGTGTTTTACAACAGAGATTCACTTTGGCGTAAAGCCCTAAAAATTTTGATTATGTTTATTCTCTTTCTCTTTGGTGTCATTTTTCTAAAAGTCCATTTTATTGAAGAAACGCATACATTCAAGAAAGTGCACTAACACACATCTCAAAACAAACAAACAAAAAAATCACAACTTATTATCTCTGTGTAACCAGCACCCAGATCAAGAATTTGGGGGCATTTATATTCCACTGCAGAATCTACTGAGAGTCACACAGCATGTGGTGTCTTGCTCAGTATTCATGGACTCCATCCAAGGAGACCCTGGACTAATAGGAGGGAGTTTTGACTCCACTTGAATTTTGTTATTATTACTTGTGTGTGGTACAGAGGACTGTGCATCCTCTGACAAATTACTTGATGTCTTCAAACATCAATATACTCATCAGTAAAATGAGGATATAAGGATGTTAATACTTTTTTATGATCATTCAGAATTAGAAAAATAAAATTAGACTGTTTAATATATGTGAGTGGCAAATGAATGATGAACGACACTATCAGTAACTGTGAACATGCAACTAAACATTCATTTGTAGCCTGGAAGTTTATTATAGCATAATAGAGGGGTTGTGGGAGGCAGTGCATTAACTAAAATTGTCAAACACATCTGGACAATTTTTATAGCACTCATTTATTTCTTATGGTGTTTAATTTACTATAGGGTAGATGCAGGCTTAAAATTTGATTTTTATTTTCTTGATTTTCTGAGAAAATTAAATCCTCATTTGCTAAATGCATTTTCTTTTTTCTTTGGAGGTGTTGGAGAAAATTTGACAGATCCATCTGTTATAAAACCTGAAGACAAACAGTAAGTTAATGTCTGATGTTATCATTTAGAAAATCGAATTTAACACACTGTACATGGCTCTTCCAAAACAATTTTTAAGCATTTACATTTTTGTTCAGATTCTAGAAAGTTTGAGGCAAGTTACATTTATATCCAAATAAAAGACAATAAGATTTAAAATACAGTAACTTTTAAAGAACACACAGATTTTGGAAATGGAGGGGCAAATATGGAAATAAAACAAGACTAAATCTGGAGTTAAGTTAGTACATGTGGGTGGAGATTATAAAGAGCAATGCTGTAGCCCAAACTGTGTGGTAAATTAGACTTTGCATTTTTTAGTGACCCAAACAAAAGGAAAGATGGGTGAGTTCAGTGTGTACACTTGGCATGAAAGCAGTGTCATGGGGGAGCCTAGTTGCCTGTAATATTCTCAAGTAGGGTCATTACATCTTATGGGCAGTGAATGATAGCTAAGAGCATATAGTATGCTTCCTATTCAGTTGCAAACCCATGAGCAGCCAAAACAATGGGGCAGGTATATGAAACATCAGATGGTCTGTCTTAATTCAGCAGTGAGCTTTCAATTATATATAAGGATGAGCCATTTGCCTGTCCTCTGACTCCACATTGTCATTTTTTAAAAAGATTTATTTATTTATTCATACAGAACTGGGGTACAAGCCAGAGGTATAGGTATGGTGAGAGACTTCACCAGAGACAGAGTGGGGAGCCGAACAGGCAGACTGATGAAGTACACTGCTGAAGGAAGCAGCGGGCAGGTCAGGAGAGGTCTGCCATGCCATGTGGATCACCACCCCGCCCCCCCCCCCGGCGGGGGATCGAACTCACACTGAAGCTGCTGCAGCCAGCTTGCAGTGCTGTGTTCCAACCCGTTGTGCCACCAAGGAGGGCCCCACATTGTCATTTTATAAACAGACTTTTAGAGAATCTTTTGGCATTAGAGGATCTGAGGTTGTGTGGTATTAAAGACTGACCAGTAGGTAGAAGGCAGTGGTTATCAAACATGAACTTTCTTCATAATCTCTAATATTATAGCAAATTTCCAGGTGATTCTGATGCTGCTGGCCCAGAAACCACACTTTTGAGAGCTTTTGGCATATAACATCTTTATGTCTTACTTTTCCTAAGTGTTACTACTGACTCCTAGGTTATAGAAAAAATATGTTACTTAAGAAGGTAAATACTAGTAAATAAAATCTGAGATGTTTACATTCCCTTTCATGGAACTCAAACTGTAAGTATTTACTGCTTTAGTATTTTATTTGGTTACTGGAAGACTTAATTTAAATATGATCTCAGCTGTAGGTTTCTATCCAAAAGTTCCATCTAAAAGTGTCGTAGCCATTTTTTGTACTAGGTGAGCTACAGAAGCTATAGGAGCTCTTACATGGCTCCTAACATCTAATTCCTATGACATTAGACAATGGAGTTCATGTTGTAACCCTTTGGTACAGATAAGGCTTTATAGTTTTTGAGAACTAAAATGTTTTTAGCTAAGCATATTATTTCTTTAGTTTCTCTGTGTACCCAAGAATCTGTAGTAGTATTTCCTTTATAATGTTGAAGTAAATTTTTTTTGCATATATAATAAGCCAAGTTTATTTATATCCTGTCATTTATTAAATTTTGATTTTGGCATATATCACCTAATATAACCTGAATATTTCCAACTTTTGCAATTCTGAATTATATTATTCCATTTGACAGCAGAATATTTAATTACATTCTGTAGGTCAGTATGTCTCAATTTCTATTAAGCTCACTTAGGGAACTAAATGCTCACAATTGACATCACATCAGAATCTCTGCACTTAGGTTCTTGGTGAAAAGTTCTTCATGTGATTCTAATGGGCAACAAGGATAGGAACTTCTGTCTCATAGCAAACTTTATTTTTTACGATTTAAAAATAGGAACTCTGGAAACTGATAGTATAGACTGCCTGGTTTTGGGAGGTCACTTAATTTTGAGTGCAGCTGGTCTTCATGGTGAAGGTAACAGGACATGTTCTTTTCTCTCAACAGTGGTGAATTATATCTAACTAATCAGTGAAACTGACATTTTTGTGTTAAACCTTTGTTACACAAAGCCTGGGCATGTCACAATAACATGTGCCTTACTGGGAGTATCGGAAATGCACAATCTCCAGAACCTCCCTGTCCCTGTTGAATCAGAACCCGAATTTTCACAAGCTCCTCTGATAATTTTATATAAATGAAAGTTTGAGAAATATCATTCAGGTTAAGTACTTTTACATGTCATTCATTTTACCCTTAGAATTAGAAGCAAGTGTCTCACAAATGAGAAAATGTAAGCTCAATTAAGATGGCAACTTGCCTACAAGTGAAGGGGAATAAGCCTCCACCCAAAGAGAAGAGAGATTTGGGATGCAAATTCCAATATTGTCTCTTATGCCTGTGGCCCCATAACTTCCCCAACCTTTTGCATGTAAAGAGTAAGTCGCAGGTCTTCTCCTCAAAGTTCTCTCTGGCCACTGGTCTCCTCTGATCATTGGCCTCAGTGGAGACTGTCTCAATTCATGGTAGTTTGGAGTTATATCTTTACACTTGCTACGTTGGTGGTTTTGGGCATTTGTCAAGTATCAAATGATGATGACAATGATGGTATGTTCTTTAGCAAATCTCTGTTTATAAGGCATTATGTTGCATTTCCTCAAATGTAGATCCAGGCTACCACCTGCATTCCCTGTGCTGTAAGATATCTGGAAAACAGTTTTTTTTTTTGTTCTTGAATGTGATATTCTGAGCTTGCAAGTCTGTAGGCGAGCTGCAAGGGGCAGATACATATGACTGTCCCTTTAACCTTCCTCCACTCCCCTCTGAACAGGGAGTGGCCAAACCCTTTCTATATACATTAACTTTAATTTTACTTAAGCATACAAAAACTAGGGTGTAGGCCAGAGGTGTGCAGGGTGAGAGGATTCACCAGGGACAGAGTAAGGAGCAGAAATGGCAGATCTACTGAAATACACTACTGAGGGGAGTGGCAGGCGAGCAAGGAGTAGTCTGCTGTGCCATGTTGGGTCACCTCGCTGGCCAGGGATTAAACTCAGGCTGCAGTGGTTGGCGGAAGCTTGATAGTGCTGAGATTTTAACCCCTGTGCCACCATCAGTACGCTTTTTACTGATTGTGATTCTTTTAACTTTCAAAAAGCTTATAGAGGCAAAGGGTTTAGCTTGCAACTTTTATCTAAAATCCATGTTATATCTAAGTTTAAGGTTTTCATGCAGTAGTGGGAGGAAAGAAATAGGGGTGGAGTACAAGAATGAAATATTCCAATAGGGTCATGCTGTAGAGACTATAAAAAGAATCTTTCAATTTTAATAACTGAAATAACACTTTTCATTTTCTACTTTATCAGCATTATAGAGTTCCGGTAGTAAATATCGAGTGTTTCTACAATTTGGTTTGCTCTTGTTGAAGTGGTAGCTTACTAGCTGGACAGAAGGAGAGGAATAGTTAACAAGAGGCAGCCTATGCAGCCAGGTAAATACCACCAGAGCTGTACTTTGTAAGGGCGATTGAGTGACCAGGAAAGTTAATCCTGGGTGTCTGTTCACTTTGTCTTCCCAAGAGATTTATTCTATCTACTTGCCTTGGAGCAAAGAGGCAATCTGAGATCAAACTGACATCAGCCCTCATTCCAAGCTTGGCACATCTTCAGAGCAGCTACTGTTATTCTGCCAAAAGGAAGTGGAAATTGAGATAAATGTTTCAATACTCACATGGAAAAAAGTCCATTTTTACACCACGACCCTTCTGAAAAACCGCATTCCTTAGAAGCAAAGTTTATTGTTTCCTTTTGTGATAGTTTGCCTTTCTTTTCTTAAGACGTGGTATTTAAGAGCAGTAATTGAGTTCAGATTTTAAAATGTGCTGTTTCCACTCCGCATGTCATTAAAATAAAATATTAGCTTTCATAGTTTCTGGTGTGCTGTGTTCCATGATGTGTGGAGTGTCAGTCTGAAGAATAATAGTTGTAGGTGATCTGATAATGGATGAACATTGATCCTAGACCTGCTAAGGAGCTTTTATAATTACAGTCTATCCCAAATGTGCCTAATACAGACTGATTGTAATTGTGACTTTGTCATCTAACTTTGACATATATAGTTTGCTTTGTAAAAACAATGTCTAGTAGTAGTCTTGTCATTGGAAAAAGTCCAGCTATAGGACTTCACAGGGAAGAAAGAGTCGTGAGTGGTGCATTAGGGCTATTTTGCCTGTTGTGTCTGAGGACATGCTGATATTTAGGAAAGTATTTGGGTTTGAAACAATGTATGCGCATCTTTTTTAGAAAGTGTGTTCCAATAGCACATTAATTTTACTTTGTACCTTATCTTCTGGGTATTCTAGTAGAACATTTGGTAATGAATGTCATTCTCTCACCCCATATGCATTAAAAAGGGTCTCACTGTATTTTGTTTTAATGTGGTACATAGAAAATTCCCTCTTCTATCAGATTAGTGTGGAAATGAGTTTCACAGTAGGTCTTGGAGTTGGGTACAAAGATTTAAGTGCATTTGAATTTTAAATTTGCAAACCTAACATTGTTGCTTCCCCAGAGTGCTTTTTCTTTGTTGGCTCCTTCAAGTTTACTGGGTTACTATGGGATACTGTTCGGTATCTCAGAGAATCCTAGTTGAGCTCCTTTTTCATAGCTGTGATCTAATTGATATTCTGATATTTCCTCTAGATCAAGAGGAATGGTGTTTGGACCAGCCAATTTAGGGGAAGATGCAATTAGAAACTTCATTGCTAAGCATCGTTGCAACTCCTGCTGCCGGAAGCTCAAACTGCTGGGTATGCCCCAAACAATTCTATTTTTCTCTAAGTAAATCTTTTCTAGAACAACATCCATTGTAACCTGGGATAGAGTAGAAAATCTTAATCACATTTTTATCTCATTCGAAGTTGAGGCTTGACTTTCTGACTGCAAATTTTTCAAGTCTCTAAAGGGATTAAAAGGACAGGAATTTACTTCAGGTTCTGCCAAAATGTGATAAAACAACATTGGACCCAATACTTGTCGCAGTCTCTCCACAGAAAAAGTTCCACTGACTTAATTGTGATTAAATTGGACAGAAGCAGGTCCCTTCCCCCAGCCCTCTTTTGGGTCCTGTGTGGTACCCACTGAATTTCTATTCTTAATTTACTCATTCGACACTTGGGAGGGTGGGGTGTGGAGGGAAGCAACAGCTGTCATTTAAAGTAGTACTTTTCATGGCAAAAACATGCCACTTAAAACTTTACTTTTCAATATGTATTTATTTGATACTATGCCATATGTTCTCTCAAACCAGTATGATCACTGCAGAAAATATTCCTTACACTAAAAGCAAACAGGTGGAGGACTGTGCCCCCCAAATTGGAAGCCGCAGCTCAGTCAAATTTTTTTTTCATCTCAGAAGGGGAGCCTGGTTTCTCAGCTTACTTGCTACTTTTCTTTGGTCATACCAAATTGTCCGTAGAATGGAATTCCACATGTTTTATACAGAGCAGCTCTTTTTGCTTCATAGTCAGTGACCATACCCTGAATTGGAGTCAGTGAAACATCATCATCCATGGTAACTAGGGATGGAATAGGTGTAAGTTTACAACAAAGAAAGGCAGTTTCTAATCTTGCTTAGGTAGGAAGAACTTTCATGGGCACCACTTAGTAAAAGACTGGGATTTGGAGCAGACTTCCAGTTCAGTCTGGAGTGACCAAAAGAGGAGGCTCTCTCTCACAGTATGGCTGCCCAGGACACCCCTTCACAGATCAGACAGCTAATTTGGGCAGATATTAGCCCATAACACACTGGCTAAGTTACCACTGGCCATTTGTCTGCTCAGAAGGAGCTCAGGAAGGGGCATGGACTGAGCGGAGAGGCAGGGTCTTCCCACTAAGGGCCCTACGGAGGGAGGGAGCTGTAGCCTAGCTTGGTCAGGCCCTGATTGCAAACTGAAGTTCAGTCCATTTGCTTGTGTCCTCAGCCACCATCCTCTTCCTAGGCTGAGTCATCTACTTTGGAAAGGGCAACTTTCCATTTTTGAAGACACAGGGATTACAGCTCATCCGCTGGAGAAAGGGAATGTTGAGGTATAACTCCCTCCCTCCATCCTTGATGCCAATTGGCAGTCAGTTCTATATGATTAAAGTCTAGCTTATTGTTTGGTTTAACAAACTCTGGTGAATTTTGTAGCAATTTAGTACTTCCTCCATCTCTAGACCTCCTCTATGTTTCCTTTCAAAACCTGAACACATTTAAGTGGGAATAAGTATCCTTAGACATTTGGTAATCTGGATTTAAAAAAAAAATAGTTTAGTCTGGAATATAGAATTAGTGATTTTTCTTTTTTGTTTAAGTATATTTTATTTTATTATTTTTATTTAAGAAGGGCAGTTTACCCAAAAGTAGATGACTGGATTAAGAAGATGTGGTATATATACACAATGGAATATTACTCAGCAACCAAAAAAAAAGAAACACATGTCTTTTGCAGCAACATGGATGGAGCTGGAAAAGATCATGCTTCGTGAGATAAGCCAGAAAGAGAAAGAAAAATATCGGATGGTTTTGCTCATAGCAGGAGTATAATGGGCCAGGCGAGAAAATAATAAGAATAATGAACAGCCATATACCAGAGACATTTTGTGGGGATAGAGTGGGGAATGGGATCAAAAACAGTGGGGGGAGGGAAATGCACTGGACTATGGTGATGGCACATGGGTGACTTGGTGATGGGAAACACAAGGAGATTACAATTAAGATGAAAAAAAATGTGCAAAATGATGTAAAAATAAACTATTATATAAAAAAGAGGGGCAGTTTAGGATTGCATGTGGATTGAGAAGCAGATAGATTGAGCTCTCATCTCAGTTCTGCTTTTCTCTGGCTAAGTCACCTTCGTGCTGGGTTTTCTCATCAATGAACTGGAGATGAGACACCATTTCATAAATTAGGTGTGAAGATTAAAGCGATACTTGGATACATGCAATAAGTGTTTGTTATTATTAAACTATAGCATTCATTAGGTTAGTCCAGATACTCTTCATTTAATGTTAAAAATAAATAACATAAGGAACACAAATTTAGTGACAGAAGACAAAATGGTACACAAATATTTAAAGACCAAATCCTCCTCTATGTCTTTCTTTCTAAACGTTACTCCTATTAATGTTTCCTTTTGATCATTTCCTTTTTAAATATAAGAAAGAATTTAGGAAGCAGAGGAACCAGTATTTGGGTGAAACTCTCATGGATGAGGCCAACCCTGAGGTACAAATGAATTTGAGAAAAGTGACAACCAAATCCTTAAGTCTACCATTTTGGTGAACTCACTGATCCCGCCCATGACTCAACAGTGAAAATACCTATTTCCACTTTGACCTCACATAACTCTGGCCAGATTGTGCCTGATGGAGCACTACATATTGAATTGAGCATCCCAACCTTTTCTCTCCTGCTTCAGTGAACACATGTAAAGCAGTTCCAGAGTGTTGTAGTCACACTTGGGCACAAGGAGGGTGGTAGTTCAGACATAGCTGAGGGTTTGGGTTTCATCTAGAGGTGTCCTGGGGGAGCAGAGTCCTCTGAGCACTTGGAGAAATCAAAGCCCTATCTATCTGTGTGAACAATATGTTCTAAGGATCCCCTGTAACCATCTTCATTTGTCTTCCTTGCAGATTTAAAAAGAAATGACTATTCCCCCGGAAAGATAAATTCTACTTTTGGACTTAAAATCAATATAGAACCAGCGGAGGGGCCTGAAGCTAGAGAAAGGAGTAGTAATTCACCAGAAGATCTCACACGATTGTAACAAGGGGAGGAATAAAGTGGCAGCCTGCTTTCCACAAACTCTGTGGTAACGTAGATAGACTGATGGACACACTAAGTCAGAGCTGCTATCAGGGCGGCCTCACATTTTGTACCTCCTTGGGGCCCAGCTTCTGTGTTGCATGTCTCCCCCTGCCACGTACCTCACTAGTAGATGAAGAACAGGTGCTTTGCATGCACTCTTCATCCTCAAGTTCCCCAGGAAGACACTTTAAAGGATCCGCTGGGAATCCTTCATACCTCATTGCTTTAGCTGGTCTTGTAGAGCCTTGGAGCAGAATGCCCAGATCTAAAGAACCAGGAAGATGACTCTAGTCCCACTGCTATTCATCACCTCACCCACATTTTGTATTTATGTGTAAGTGTACATAGAATTGCTTTTGACTTCCTCTGCTCTCCTTTCCAGCAGCACAGGATTTTGAATAGCAACTATAAGGAAAATAATGTAACGAGGGTGTATTTATACAGAATGAAGCACACTCCTGCACAGACTCTCCATTAAAGTTAGTATCCTGGTGAAATCTAGATGGGTTTGAGGTTTTGTCAGTGAATCATGATGCCCAAGGCATTTCAGGTTTCTCTGAAAGAAGGGAAAAGGGAGATCTAAAGCAAACGTTCCTGTTTCCCCACCTTTTTTTTTTTTTAAAGGTAACAAGGATAGGTAAAACTAGAAATTATTGACATGTTTTTCCTTCTCTTAAGCTCAGTTATCAATTAGAAAGCCAACTCTAAAACAGCACTTCTCTTTCCAAAACTGCATAAATAAAATTACAGGCAAAATTATTTTCTGTAGGCCTGTGGGGAGAGATGAATTTCTGACTGAAAGCACACTTCAAAGTTGTTTGCTTCATTTTAGTGCCAGTTCTGGTAGCTTCAAGAGTGCTGTAGTATATATTTTCAGTACAGCCTGAGAACTTGTGATCAGTTTTGGGGGCCCGAGGATGGCTCCCTCAAAGCCACACTATATAGCACCTTGGGGATTGCTCATCCCCATTTGCAGTTGTTGGGGCCTCTCTACCTCAGAACAAGCATGAACTTTTCACATATGTTGAAAATGGAGAACAGAAAATCCTCTCCATTTTCCCTCTCCATCACCTTTCCTTATTTTCAAATGTTCCAACCTATAAGCAATAATGTCCTCAGTTGGAAAAATAACCCCTCTTCTCTATCTTTAACCCTTACATTTGGTGACTTTTTTTTTTTTAAGTCAACACTCTGCATTGTTACATCTGAGTAACCCAGATATAGGGGACTATATCTCTGCATTGTTACATCCAAGTAACCCAGATACAGGGGATATAGCCAGAAATGTGTTTAGGGACCCCTGAGAATAAACTGACTTCATAATTTAGATGGCTGAGGATGATGCCTGATCATTGAATGTGTTGCATAAGTGTGAATTTATACCCCTTTTATTTTGAACTTGGGGGTGGTGGGAGGTGGAATATTTGGATGATATCTTGATACACAATGAAGATAAAATGTTAATGCATTTCTGGGTCTTAACTGCTTTACCCAAGCTATAAATCAATAAAGGATCTGTTAGTACCTACTTCAGTGCTGTGTTCATCTATGGAGAGAGCAGTTTGCTTGTCCAAGGACCAAACAAAGGAATCACTGGCTTTATATTTGTTACCTGGAATGGAACTTGAAAACAAATACATTTGATTTCACATTTTTGTGTCATGCCTTTTTCTTTCTTAAGAAAAAAAAAATCACCAGAATATTTTAAAAAGTTGAACTGCTAGGTGAAGTTCACTGTGGGGTTGCCAGCATGCAAATACCCACGTAGCAGTCTTGATTTTGGAGTCATTCATTACCTTAAAATGGTACGGTGCTCATACATTCATTGGTTGGTTTTATTCAACAGCTAGTTAAGTGCCTTATCCATACCGTGCAAGTGATGGAGGATCAAGTGAATATAGTAACTTTGCCATTAAAAATCTCATGTTTCTTTTCTTTCTCTTTTTTTTCTTCCATATTTGGATTTCTCATTATTGCTTTAACATTTATATTCTGGGCAAATGTTGTATCTGGAAAAGTGTCCTTTACCTTTACTGCCAGCAGACAGTAGGTTCAGTCTGACTTAAGACAATTAGGGAAAATCAGAGCATATATAACCAAAAATGTGTTTAGGGACCCCTGAGAATAAACTGACTTCATAATCCTTGTCTGAGTACATTTCTGAATCTCACAGGTGAATCTAGGGGCCAGAGAAGCAGCCACGTTCCCAGAAGTTCTTCCCTAAGGCATCCTTTGCACAAACATTCCCTTTCAGATGTTATCTATGAGGCTACCATGTTCCCCACCCCACTTACATGCGGTTGCCTTGAACTAGAGACTGTCAGTGAGGGGTGGAGCTGAGCAGCAGGTGACGCTATATTGCACAGTGTTTAGGCTCTAGGAGACATCTCTTGCTTCTGCAGCCCATCTCACACCCTGGTATTTCTGGGAAGGAGATATGGAAGAAGATGAATGGAGAGACATGTAGAGACAACTGAAAGAGACAATGGCTGCCATTATCTTGATGTGGTATCCTCTTGTCTTGTCTTTCTGAGACCTACTTCAGAGCCCATTTCCTATAGTTCCTCCGCTGAGGAACTTCAATTTGTGGCAAGCTTTCAAGTCCTACTTTGCATTGTACCTGATTGGCTGGGTATTTGCCCATGAGGGAATGGGTAGTTTGGGGGTTTTATTGGGAATGTTCTCTCTTCTTTCTGTGCACACTTATTTTATTAAAATTCTTTCACACTAAGACTCTTCTTAGCCTTTGTATTCACAAATGGCTGGAGTCCTTTACAGCATGCAGTTTGGGGGTCTCAGGTTATTCTTCAGTCTTGCACTAACACAAATGCTGTATATTCCTGGAGTGACTTCTGGCCTGTTGCTACCTTAAGTTTCTGACAAACCTGAGGAATGAGAGCAGACAGGATTTGGGGGTATTTCTCATCCTGTTATTAATTTCTGTGACTGCAAAATAAGTAATGGGTGACTTAGAGTAACCAAATAACCATGTACTCCATGTTAAAGTAACTGGTTTTGATAGCTGTTGTTTATTACTGCCTTAGATGACTGCTCAGATTCTAAGTCATGACACAGCATTCCTGGTCATGGCTTATTGTCTGTCTCTGTCATTCCCCAGCCTCCAGCACAAAGCATGGCAGATACTGTCTTTCAGCATTATTTGTTGCATGAAATAATAGAATTTTCAAATGCTAATGAATTTAATTTACTAAATAATAAATCAGATTTGCATTTTTAATCTGGAAAGGAATGATTACCAATTCCTTAAGAACCAACACAATTCTTTTCATCTCTGTCTGTTTTAATTTTCTAGGAAATAGCTTTTAACAACCTATACCTTGTCTATTGAATTCTCAACCAGTTCTCGCCCTTATCATCATGTCATATACCAGGGCACAGTCCTTCTTCCTGGTGGCTCCTGAAATGAGATAACTTCCCAGAAACTGCATAGAAATAACCATCACTTTATTACCCTTTGAAAAGAAGATTGATAGAAAAGTCATTTGAAGGATGGTTCATTACCATGCCCTGGTATGATTTCTTTACTCACATCTCTCCAAAGCACGGAGAAAGGGAGGATTATTCTCTGAGGTCGGAATTGGAAGGCTGTGTGTTTGCCTCTTTGAAGTCTTGGTATTTAATTTTCTGTAGTCATTTCTTGGGCAATTTTCTAAGAAACTAGTTGAAGCTAATTTATCATAAGTTAAAGTCAAATGACAGAAAGAATTTTTTCCCTCTTCACAGCATTTTATTCCGCAGAGGTTAGCTTCTGAAGGAAAATGAGACTTAAATAGCATTTCAAATCTCCAGCCACATGGGTGGGTATATAGAAAAGAAAAGGTTCTGGAAGTCATACTGATTCTTTATTTAGCACATTTATTATTTTGTGACTTTTCTTTCTAGACCATGATATACATATATCAAATATTTTTGTGCAATACCTTCCTAAAAATAGTTAAGTTGCTTAACTTTTCAAAGCGAAGCTTTTCGTCCTGAGGGATAACAAACCTTGGTCTGGTCTTTATTGTTCAGAGACTTTGATATAACTTTATATAATTCATTTAACCTTTCTCTTAACCCTCAATGCTAAGATGGAGATGAGATACTTACCTTTTAAAATGAAGGTGAACAATAATGAGAGATCATTTATAAAATCCTTTGAGAATCTCACTTAAAAGACTTCTTGTGAGTGTAGCCCCGTTTAAATAATAAGCAGTTTTATTTTTGATATTATCTGATCATTATTTAATGTTTACAGAGGATACTCAGTGGGCCTATTTCAATGTAAACACAAAAGTGTTTTTTGCTATTTCTCTCTTCCCAAGGGGGAAAGCTCACTGCTTCCTTTTTGTTTTGAAGTTTAATTAAATAGTTCAAAAATCAGTAAGTTCATCATTTCACAGTGTCTTCTATTATTTTGCTTCTTGATGTATTTGGTCTTCCCAGCTAATTTCTTTTGCTATCTTCTGTTCAAAGAAAGTCACCCAGAAAAAGTAAAGACCCAAACTGGTATCATCGGTAATATTTTTGAGTATGGAAAGAAAGAAGTTTTAGAATTTTTATGCTTGTAAAGCTTGGTGGTTTACAAAACTTTAATTTTGTGACTTAAATCTTGTTAGTATGGGACTCTTAGTAATAAGAAAATTCTGGGCTATAACTTGTTAGTGTCTCAGTGATTAACTTCCTTAGCATTCTCATCTTGTGATTTTTTTTTTCATTGCGAATCTTTAGAAATTCCACCTGCTCAGTCACAAAGTCTTTGCAAATAGATAAAATCCTTTGACTAATGACTGAATGACTGATCAGTGTGGACATAACAACTGCCTTTATTGGCCAAATTTGGAGTCATGTGGTTGTGTTTTGGCTACTAATCAATCTTTTTCTTGATTCTATTAGTCAGCAAGTTAAGAGGTCAGGATGCTTTGATAACCTGTTTGTTGTGGTTGAATTGCATTTCTCTCCCTTCCTCCCAATTAATGTGTTGAAATTCTAACT